GATTCCATTTTGCTTGTGCTTACTGATCTGCACTCATTTATACATATTGCCCCTCAGTCTCTTAGACCATTTTCTTGTTATTGTTGAAATGGGATACAAAAAAAGATATATCTACAAACCTATCAATGATCTAGACTACCAGCAGTAAAGGGATACAGTTCAGACGGCATCTGAAGGACAGCACGCTACTGCCACCTAGTGTCCTCATACACTCTAAAAAGTGATGTGTTAAATAACAACACACGTGTTAGATGTTTTAAGACTTTTTGTGTCATATTGTTTTCAGAGTGAACACATTATGTGTTATTAGTAAGTGGGCACAGAATATTTTAACACATTTTGTGTCAAAAGTAACTCTAAATGCACTGTCTCCAGCTGAACACACTGATGTGTCTAGTTAGAGACAGAATGTGTTCTGTTTTTAGGTATGCATGTATACATGACCCCAGTAAGGACTGTATAATCAGACACTTTTATTCATTTTAGGATGAAAGTTAAGAAGGATGAGTTCCTCTTTTGAGTCTTGGTTCCTTTAAAAGTTTCTTCCTCTTTACTCTTAGGGACTTTTTCCTGCCATTGCCACACTTGGCTGGCTCACTAAGGGCTTGGACCTGCATTTCTGTGAAGCTGCTTTGTGACACCTGTTGTACGAAACATTATACAAGTTGAATTTAAGAAGTTTTGCACATGCTTGGAGCTTGTTTGGGTGCTACGAAGGCCTTTTGAGTGGTATTCTTAAAAGAAAATAATAGTTTTCATTTCATTTTTGGAAATTAGTTCATACATAGACCTGCAGTATTTATATTTGTTTAGGCAACAACCCTTCAATCATTTAAGTATAAGCCTGTAAGGTCATAATGTCTAGCATTATGAACAACAGGCATTCAGTCAGAAGTGCCTATATTTTTGACTGGCACTGTAGGTAAAACACTTTTTAAAGGGCCCATATTATGGAAAACCAAAGTTTCACACTTTGTTAAAGTTTCAAAATGTAATCCCAGTCTATACAGTCTATATATGGGAAGCAAGCTCCAAAAAAGCCTGTTTTGAATTTGTTGCATTTGTGATGTCACAAAAAATAAACATTTACATGTATACTTCTATTCAGCATACAGCAATTTAGCCCCGCCCATTCACACTGAAGTTAAAAGGAGTGTTTCAGCTCGGATTTCTTTTTGAATGATGTACAACACAGAGGAGCCAATCAAAACATTTACATATTGCTACTGTCAGAACAAAACTTCGTATCTCCAAAATGGTAACTTTACAGGAGACATACTTTTGATGTAAGTCAATAGAACCAGACTTTTTGTCCAAGTAATTTTGGGCTGTTTGTTTTGGTAATGAAACAGCTCATTTAAACATTGTGACTGGTTGAAAACATGTTAGAGAAAAGTGTTCAAAACCTAAATGTTTGGATTTATAGTGCTGCTAAATTAAGCCAGTATTCCTTGGTCACAGGTAAGAAGTAAATTCAAACTAACCAACGTGTGCAATAAGCACATTTGTATCCTCTGATTTTGCTGAGATTTTTGTTCCTTTTCATGCATCATTTGGACAATGCGGCTCAAAATTTTTATCTCACCTTTGGAACATCTGTCCTCTCTGAATTTGACATGAGTGGGGAAAAATAATCACCCCATTATGATAATGCTTCTCCACCTGAAAGCATTCTGTGTGATCTATCATTTGTTTCTAGCATTTCTAAAACCATCTCATTATTTTCCAGAAAGGTCACGAGTATCTTTCATAGCACTCTGTTACGCATAATTGAGGACAAATTCACAAGCAACTCCCAGATGCATCTTTGTTTTTCCAGATATTTGGCATCCTTGAAAGGCTGCCTTACTTTAGCGCTCTGAGACTGCTGATTGTGGTATGCTAATCCTTGAAGGCTTCCATGCCCACCTGCCAATGCTCATTATTTTCATGCTATTTTCAGGCAAACAAAGTACAGTAAGGCTGAGCTGAAACCCCAGGCCAAAAGCGCTTCAGAAAAACAAATGAGAAAGATTTTGCTGTCAGTCACAGTGATGATGAGAATGTACGCCGTCATGCTCTGCAATAAACATCTGCTGAGCCCAGTCATCTCAAGGCCAGTTACACATGAATTTACCAAGCTGAAATTACATCTCTACCTTTTTCTGCTTGTTGCATCCAGCCACTGTTTGTTTCTGAGTGATTAGTTATACTACCTGTTGATCACTCCCCTTATTAAAAAGAAACAGACACTGTGATCACGACGAGGTTTATTTGTATACAAAATGAATTAAAACTTGAAGGTAAACTACCAGTCAAAACTGTTGACACACTTTAATGAATATGCATTTTTCATAATATTAAAGGTATTTTGATCTCAAGGTTTTCAGTCAATCTATGCCAACTCACCTCAGGCCTGGTGGATTTCCACATTTCTGTGCAGAAATGAATAATTCATAGATGTGACAGAAATGTAGGAATACTACATAAACTACCTAAATTTGGCCAAAATAATTCTCAATTCTGAAAACTGACAAGATTAAATTTCAAAGATGAAATAACAGTTTCATTCCCAAAATATTGATGGACCACTTTCACTTTTTTTTTTTTAACGATATGAATTGTTGGGGAAAAAGCTTTACACATACAAGAAATATCAGTGCTATATTGTGATTCCCACCACCTTTATTAGAGAAATGAATGTGTTTTTTATTGTACATCAGCTGTTATTCTTTTATATCCAAAATTGTTACAATTAGATGTAAATTGCACACTGACATGAAAAGTACATCCTCTAATAAATTAACAGGTTCTGGAAATGCAATAACTTGAAACCAGTATTCGTTAAGCAGTTAAATCAATAAAATTAGTGTTGTGCTGTAACCTTAACTGGCCATTGTTTATTTATAGTATGCAAAAACTTCAACAGCAAAATACAGACACTTGTAGTAGACCTTGAAATATTAAATGGACACTTGAAATATTCAAAATTTAAAGTCCGCAAGTTCTCAGTCTTTTAAACCTGCCTATTTGCTTGAACTAGACACCTGGCATCCTTTCTTTGCTGCAAGTTCATTAAGACTTAAATTCAATTTCTATGCTAATGTTAAGTGTTTATATTAGTTGAACTGCAGTTGAAATGCATTTTGGTGATATGACTGGTGTGGAATTGCATAGAAGTGTGTAGAATTGAGGTGTAACCACTGTCCCATAGACTGTTGTTGGGGTGGGAGAGTCAGAGCATGTTTCGTTGCGGTGCATGCTGGGGACTGTAGTGCAGCACATCATGAAACAGGCTAATATTAATAGAAAATTAAAATACTTTGGTGGCCCAGATAGGATTGAATGGTGGGCCTGATCTGGCCCATGCGCCTTGTGTTTGACACATGGCAGTTAAACTGAATATTTAAGATGCAGTTTAGAACTTAAGTTATTTTGGAAAGATGCATAACTAAAAAATGTATTTGGAGAGCAGTGCTGAAATTGTGCCTTGTTGCAATAACTAAATTGAAGATTGTGCTTGATGTTTTTATGGAAATACATGATGAAATACAAAAACAATATTAATATAATTAATGATCTCATTGTATTGATAAGGTTTATACATAGATCATTTTAAACCTAAATATTTCTCAATTTCATTAATTTAAAGATTTTGCCTTAAACCTGGATGGCACAAGCCTATATTTTTTCAAAGGCAAACATTTACAAAATCACAAATCTTTATTTTGCAAAGTAACTCACACAAACAAATGAGCTATTTTGAAAATAAAATGAATAAATGTCCTGGTAAAGTAAATGGCATGTGTCTGTGAACCCTCAATGGTACATCCATTAGTAGGAAACAGAACACAAGCATTAAGGCACTGTTAAAAGATGTTACCAGAAAACAACAGAACAGCAAATCTACCCATCTGAACAGTCAGACCACACATTAAATTCAAAATGGAGTGATGAATCATAAGCACTGGAGCACATGATTTGAGTACATGATTTATTTCCTGTATCACAGCAATATACACTCAGTTGACTTGCCTTAAACAGGAATGTGTTCAATGAAACAAAAATTCTTAAGCTGCATTTCAGACATTTAAATAAAGCTTGTACAAGTCACTGACAGTGACACTCTGATTTTGAAGTCACCCAAACTAAAAAAATACATCCAAATAGGTAGTATAACAAAAAGCTACACACAGAACCATGTCCAATTTAAGTGTATAAGAATATAGCAATGACCAGCTGTCCAGAATTACAATTGAAGAGCCGCATATTAAGGCTAACAGCACTACTGGAATACAAAAGTGAGCAATGTGACAATGTGCAAAACAGCTTCAAACACCCTTATTCAGATGAACTGCCTATTTTATACCTTGTAACCCGAGTGAATTCATTCCCAAACAGAAATAACATTCAATAATCAATACAAAAATATATATGTGTAATCCTGAAACAGGCCAAAAAGAAAATATACAAGTCATAGTTCTGTTTTTCTTGATTTTTTTGGTGGGAAAGAAAAGAAAAATACATTCCATGGATAGCTGGATATGAGAAGATGGGATAAAATAATGTATTGAAAATAAAAAAGCATTCAAAACATTTAAAATTAAGACATGAAAATAAAGTGAACCCACAAGAATACTGATGATCAATTTAAAATTTAAACAAAAAGGGAAAAGCCCTGAACAAAGAGTCATTCGAAACCCTGATATCTGTGGCTTTGAACTGCCTTTTGCCTGAGGGCCATCAGGACTTGAGTGGCATGTAAAGACTGTCTGATTTCACACACATGCAAATGTCCTTGAGCTGGAACCAAGTGGTCAAGTAAAGTGGCTGAAAGGAACACACAATTAAGATGCATGAACTGCAATTACACCATGTTGGGAGTCACCTGGATGCCAGACTCAAGTCACACAGGATGTGCATTGATGAGAAGTGTTCGGCTATTGGTGAGAAATGTTCATCTAGGACTGTTCAGACAAGCAGGCAGCTTCGCTAAGTGAAAAAAATTCCCTTTAAGGGATTCAGCCATGAACTAATGGCACTCCGTGATGCAGAGCTCTTTTCCACATGTAATATGTGGAGCGTGGAGTGAGAGGAAAGTAGGATCTAAATTCTTTGAAAGTGGGGAAAGATTTCTCTTCAAAGCGCTGCTGCAGGAACAGTTTAGCCTTGGCCTTGAAATTGGCTAATGCCACGACATCCATCACAAACATTTGTTCACTGCTGCTCTTGTCAGACAGATGGTATTTAGGCAGGGTGAACTCAGTCGGGCTGACTGTCTGCCTATTCAGGTAATCCATAGCTCCATCAAAAGGAAACAGTGACTGACTTCCCACCTGTTGCAGCAGATCTTTAGTTACATCTGCTTCTTTAGGCTCATCTGTCTCAAAACTCAGATTAGGATTTTTCTGAGCTTTCTTGTTGAAGGAATATCTCCAAAACCAGTAGTAAGACGTGGAGATGGAGGGAAACTTGAGCTTGAATTTGAACAGCGACATCTTTGAGTTCTGAACACATGCTTTGGCCTCTTCTCTGAGCTTTTTCTTCTGCAGGTAGATGAGCCTGAGACTCTTCTGACTGCGCCTGGAGATCCTAACTCTGGGGGTCACCCTGCGGCTCTCTAGCAAAGCTGGCAACAGCTTCTCTTTTGGATTCTGGGTTTTATCAGCGTCTGAACTTTCTTCGCCACTCCCTGAGAGATCTCTGAAAGGTGTGAACAGCATGGCTTCCCTCCTCCAGTTGTAATATGTGGATCTCGAGATTCCTGGAAACCGTCTTTTGAAGATTCTGTAGGGGAATGAGGTGTTTGTGGCGATGCAGTTCTGGAGGCTTTTCTTTGCCTCCTGCATCAGCGCCGCATTCTGAGCCCGATCACCCTCTAGTTTTTCAGACTTGAGGGCTTGCATGCTGGCAAAACCTTCCTCACTGGGTTGTTTCTTGATCTCTGGGGAGGACCAGTAGTCCTGTTCAATGCTATCGCCAGGACTCAGCTCTCCAGTTGAGCTTCCAGAGGCAATACTGCCAGTGGACATGAGTTCATGTTTCCAGGCATAGTATGTAGATCTGGAAATTTCTGGAAAGAACTCTTTGAACTGGTTCTGAGGGATGAGCTTCCCTTCCTTGTAGCAGGCCTGAAAAAAGTGTTTTGCTTCATACCTGGCCACTGATTTCTTGTGGTACTCTGAGCTCTGCCGCCTCCAGCGATAGAAGGTGCTCTTTGTGATGTTGAACTTGTCTTTGAGCGTGGAATAAGACAGCTGAGAGTCCTGACTTAGCAGATCTAAAGACTTCACAGATGGCAACCGCTGTTCGCTGCTGGGGCTTCCAATTTTGAGGTCACTGGCATGAATCAAGGCGACAAAGTTGTGAGGTTTGAATATGGAGCCCGCTTCCAATTCACCAGACCACATAATGTGGAGGGTGAATGGTTCAGTGTCCTTGGGGCATGTTCTGGGGCGAATGAGACGGTTGAAATAGGGCCTGATCTTCAGGTTATACATGGGGTAGATGGAGTAGATGTTGCACTGGAGGACAGATGACAACGCATAGACATGCCACATGTTAGCAAAAGAGCCAGGGAAACAGGAGGCCTTAACATCTGCATCAAAGATGGCCTCTAGCACTTGCATGGGAAGCTTGAGCATGTCCTGGGACTCCTCGGCGCAGAGAGAAAACCTGGCTGCCTGCAGCATCACCTTGGAGTCGATCATGCCGCAGAGGTAGTACTGCTTCCATAGCAGCATCTCCACCACCGTCCTCACCTGCAGCTCCAAGCTCAGGCTTGTGGAGCCCACCAGTAGCATGCTTGCAGCATCAAACAGCAGGTTCCCCTCCCCTTTGCAGACCAGAGGAAGCAAGCCAGCTGGTGCATCTGCTGGGTAGAGTCTGTGAGCCACCCCATCAACGCCCATCCAAGAGGAGATCTCCGTGCACAGTGCTGTGGGGAGATGGAAGGGGGCGAGGACCTGCTCCACTTCCAGGGCCACTTTAATCAGCGCATCCAGGCCCATGGACTCTGTTGCCTCCTGCAGCTCCCCCAAGACGGAGAGCACCACCTCTTTCCTCTGAATCATGCCTGCAGGAGAAAGTCAGATAAGCATTAAGAATGTAAGGATGCAGGAACTTGGCCAAATAAATAAAATTCAGTATGTTAAGACATTTTTGCAACTCAGTTGGATTTAAAAAGAGATATACATGAAAGAACAGTGGTCCTCATTCACAAGTTCCTAATCTTCCCAAGTTGTTTTCCTTAAATTTGTTCTTGTGAAAGGTCTTAAGAAAACGTCTATGTCAGATTTATGACATGTTTTTACACAGCAGAATTGTTTGAGCGTACATGGACTCTGTTCCTACCCTCTCGGAAAAGAAATTTAGTCAGGGAACATAATTGTACCATAATCCATCAAAATTATATTTTCTAAGCTGTACTGACTCCACACACCCCGTCTCATCTCCAGGCTTTTTATTTTATTGTTCTGTTTTAAAACATTAGGTTATGAAGAGGTACAAATAAGTACTTTTTCATTGGGAAAAACTTATTTAAGGTACACAATTGGACCTTAAAACCACTGTTGTACCTTTGAGGGTCCATTTACTTTGTTTGTACCTTGATGAACGAAAAATATACCTGCACAGAACCTTTATTTCTAACGGTGTACCTATGAATAAATCCCAAATAAGAAAACATTGATGAATGTCAGAATCTTCGGGAAAACTGTGTAAGTGGGTTTTAAGAAGAAATTTCTTCCTAAGAATGGCTGGTGGGTGAATAAGACCCATTGACATTGGCTTCAGCCTTTTCAAAAAAGAGCAAGATAGTGACAAAAACCTTACATTGTCTTAAAGTGTACAAATACTGAAATATTTCCAGATTTGTATTGAGCTGGAAGACGTTTGTACTAGAACACATTTAAGTCTCAACGCCAGAATGTGCAATATTGAAGGAAAAACGTGCTGCAGTAACGTTACATTATTTAAAACAGCAGCACGTTAAAAATCTGTTCCTAATAATTTCAACAATATTAATGCACGCAGCTATTTTTATTTAAAAATATTTAACATTAACTAAAACTTAAAATCGCGTGTTGTACAGGCTACAGGTATAATTCGGCTAAATAAGTGAGTTAAAATAACCTCACCCAGAGGCCTACTGACCTCCCTGAGGCTGCTTTATGAAACACAACGTTTAAACCGCAGTCGTTCATTTATTAACGTATTAATTCGCTCACAAATCTACCAAACTTACTTTCACAGCTCGCTTACCTTAAACTAAAGTTGATGCTGTTCCAAAGGTGAAGGTCTGTTTTATCAGTGAGGCAGGAGCAGCAGTAGCGCTGTGCAGTCGTGTATATGCGTGCTGGAGTTCAGTCCATCGCGTGTGGCTTCGGCAGTGCTCTCCAAACAGGCAAGACATGGACAGCGGTCCGGGTCCAAGCTGTGGACATTTGAAATGGTAAGTACCTCCCTCCAGGAAATCGTCAATCACCCAGCCTGGTTCTGTGTGTGCAGTTCATGAACAGACACTCTCACCACTCCCACTGCAGTGCGTTCTGGGTCCACTTCAACAGGAGGCGTCAACAAAAGCCCCCCGTTTAACACCAACGTGACGGGATCACGGTCAAGATATGGCTCATAAGAGTCAAACGTGTTTTTTTTCCGCCTGAGGTCACATGAACTGTTCAGCTTGTCAGTCAAAACGCACCAGAAACTATCTTGCTTTTATATTACATTATTAACAGGTCTAATCTGCCGTCCTTAATCTGCCGTCCCTGAAAGTAGAATAACATCTAGAGTCTATAAAGTTAGATCAATGAAAAAAATACTGTAACAACTAGAGTCTATAAAGTTAGATCATTAAAAATACAATAACAACTAGATTCTACAAAGTTAGATAATTGAGAATTCTATAGCAATTAGAGCCTATGAAGTTGAATCATTGATAATACTGTAACACCCATAGCCTATAAAGCTACCATAATTGAAAATAATATAATGACTAGAGTCTATGAAGTTACCATAATTAAAACTACTATAATAACTTTAGCCTACAAATCTAACATCATTGAATATAATCTAACAACAATAGCCTATTAAGTCTACCATCATTGGACTAGCATTGAGAATACTACTAAACAATATAAACTATACTTTATAAAGCAGGGGTACACAAACTTTTTGTCTTGGGGGCAAAGTGCAATGTTGATGGTGGGACGAGGGCCAAAAAGCCAAAACAACATACAAATAAGGACAGTAAGCAGGTTTCAATTTGAGTAGAAGTGTATTTTAGGACATGCAATTCTTCAAAAATACAACTTCATAAAGGAAAACATCAATTATATAAGTTGTATATAGTATAAAAATACGTTTGTTCTCTTATTGGGTGCTGGGTGGGGTTAGGGTAACTTTCAGTTGGGCCAAATCAAGCAACCTCATAGGTTAACTTTGGCCCATGGGCCACAAATGAGGGAGCCCTGCTATAGATCTTATATGTCTTAAGAATGTAATTGATGTGATTGTTTGTACAGGTATGGAAAAAAAGTTTACAGAGCTCTGCCAGGTAGGCTTTAGCTCACCAAACAGGCCTGTCAAAGGGGGAACACTGGAATCTGACACTGACATGGTTCAACATGAATAAAATAATGCATTTTTACAGGGCTGCTTGTGAACTTTTCATAAAATAAACTAAATAAGAAACATATCATGGCTGAGCCAAATAAAGTTTCTTGTGGAGCCCCTTATGGCTCAGGGGGCCCTAAACAACTGCTTATGCTGCTTTCAGAACACAATGGCCCTGCATTTATGCAATGTCCTCAATGCCAGCAGTGGAGGGACAGAATTATGATTTCTGTAGTTCAAGAGTTGTTTATTTTGTGCTATCACACAGTTTTGAGCTTGACCCTCTCGTCCAGTCAGACTATGGCCTACAGACAAGGCCTTTTGTTGATTGGAGTGCAGAGGGTGCAGACAGAGTGTGCAAATGGCTGTGAGAGAAACACATACATATAGCTGCCACAGTGCATATCTAGCACTCATTTCTTTGGGGTATGACTTTTAACACCTCTGCCTGTCTGCCTTTTGCAGGCCTTTCACAGCACCTTTTGTTCCAGGAGCACAGTCTTGGCTGTTTCAGTCACAACCCCCCCAACCCCACCTCATTTAACCCCACCCCTCACTGACCCATAACAGACATGTACCCAACGTCTTTCTCATTTCATCTGCCCTATTTTTTATTCACACAGCCTTGGGCCTCGGAGAAATGAGATATATGGGAAAAAAGTTTCACAAAGTCAAAGCAAGCTTTAATGTAATTTAATTTGCCCCTCTGGAGAATTCCCTTCTACATCAATCATGTCTCCCCAGTACTGCTGTGCTGAGTTTCTGCCTAATATTAAACACTGAATACTTCATCCAGCAGAGCCTTTCCATTTGAACTTATGGCATAAGTTATGACTGAAACAGAGATTTTAATTCTTTGTCTTGAAGTTTCTACAGTTTGACTTTATTAGATCAGAGGGTTGTGGGCCAAAATCACTGCAGTTTACTGGAATTCGAATCTTGCACTGCCAAGTACTGAATTGAATTGAAGTTTGTTTTTGTTATACAGTCACGTGCAAAAGCTTTGAAATTTTGTTGATTTTCTAGGTGAAAATAAGTTAACACATCTCTACATATGCATGTACATACACAGGAGCGTACGGTACAAAGATACATATTTGGACGATTTCTTAGGTGTATAAGGCAGTGGGATATTTCTAATGTTTGCACTTAACATGCAGCATCACAGTGTAAATAAAAAGCAACAACGGCAAAATAGACAACATCACTCTAATCTTATTTGAACCTCTCTCCTCTGGTTGGCGCTACAGATCGCAGAAAGCCAAAACAATTAGACACAAGAACAACAGCTTTTCACAGGCCATCATAGTTATACACCTACCCCAGATCAGGTCTAATGTCGATTACTAACACAGTGCAATATTATTAACACTGCGGAGTATTAGCAATGTACAATATTATTAACAATGTGCAATGTATTTCTATTTATTTATTTATATATTTGACATACAGAAAACCACAGTCAAATTCCTTGTGTGTAAGCTACATATTTGGCTAATAAATCAATTGAGTGAGACTGTTTGAAAAACAGAAACGATGTCAAGGGATTAGTATTCAGTCTTGTGCAAAAGTTAGGGCTCCCCTGGTCAAATTATATGTTTTGCTGATTTGAGTGAAGTGAAAATAAATGTATTTGCCAAATTTGTCATATTGGAAATGTGCAAAAAGTTTTACTACATACCATGTTTTGCATTATTTTTCAGCAATATGCTAAATTCAGCAAATAAATAGAAATTGTGCAGTAAAATGTGCAAAAAAAACGTCAGTAGCTGCGTTTTCATTGACTTTCAGTGCAAACTGCAAACGATAAAATTAAAATGTGTAAAAAACATGTTTTCAGTGTTTGGTGCTCAGCAGCTTATTTCCATCATACTGGCTTTCCTGCAAACAGCTGTTTTTGCATAGGTTTTAGTTATTTGATAAAACCAGTTTGACATGTTTCCCTCTCTAATTTCATGTATGTTGCAACTTGTGGACCACTGGTCTCCCTGACTTTTACACAATCCACTGATAAGGACATTCTGTTTATTTTCTTTATTTTTTTCATTATATTATCATCATTTATTTTTTCGTCACATTTCTCTGCCATATTTCTCTGCCATGCAGAGCTGTTTGAGCACTTTTTCATGTAGAAAGGCTATAGTCTTTTCTGGACATCTCTCTCTATAAGAGCTGAAAAGTGGCAGCGCTCCATTTAAAACATGCTCATCTCCTTCTGAGTCCTACTATACCTCTCCACCATGCTGTTTGTGTTTTTTGTAGGAGCCATGAAAGGAAAATCGGTCACATGACACCAAATTTATGCAGAACAGTGTTATCCCCCCAAACAATGTAGGTTTTTGCAATATTTCAAGTATCAACAAACTATTGCTCTTTTAAAGTTGAACCAAAAAGTTTTGTCATCATTCATAGAATATTACCCCGACAACATTTGTTTCCATAGTTTACAATGACAAAC